CAACAAGGCGCGGCTGCAGAGCTAGAAACACGTTTTGAACAAGGGAAAAACAGATAAACTAGACAGAGGGAAGGCCATACTAGCTGCGTCGAAGCTGGCAAATATTGTTATAAGCATTGTAGGCTATTAATATATGCCGTATTAGTTGTGTAGCTGAGCAAGGCTTCCGACAGCTCGGTAACGGCTTGTTTACTGATAATGTGAGTGACCCCGGATCGCCTGATCCATTGTCAGGCATTGTGTTGAGGGAAAAAAAATCGACCTTCTATTAGGACTACAGCAGTGATTATCGATCCTTCTGTTTTCTTTATTGATATTTTTATTTGTCTTGTATACATAGTATCATATGCTAACATTTTACCGGTAAATGTAGATTATAACCTTTCCTTCCCACGTAAATCAGTGCTTACCTCTTCCATGTTGGTATCATCCAAGTAGCGTTTTCCTCGGCGTTTTCGCTGGATCTTTCTGGAATATCGACCGATGAATTTCTTTGAAAGAGTACATTTCCGCGCGTACGTGTCACAGAACACTCTCTCTTGTTTTGAAATGTGGTATTTGGGGCGCGATGTGATTTCTAGGTTGTCTTTCAACCCGAGAAAGTACTGGGTCCATGCAAGATTTATGACCTGCGGTCCGCGCGGCAGGCGGTGTAACTAATCTCGGCCCAGAGGAGAGGCCTCTTGTGAATAGATTAGCGTTCGGCAAAGTTCGGCCAGCCGTTCCACATGAGTGAAATCCTGGCTTAGGCGGCACCTTAATCTAGACAAATTCTGTTCAGATTGCAGAATACGATGGGGAGCCATTTGACATCGCCCATGACGCCACTGTGCCTGTCGCGAACGTCATCTGTTCCATGGTGATGGGGAAGCGCTATGACTACCAGGACGAGAGGTTCCGAGAACTTACAGAAGCTCTTAACACGCTCGCGGCTGAAGCTGGAGCCGGGCAGATCATCAACGTTTTCCCCTTGCTACGGTTTGTTCCTGTCGGTAGGTACAACGCTGTATATATATATATTTATTACTTCATTAGCTTCTAAGTAGGCAGTATTAAAAAAACAATGGTAAATACATCTTTTTCTCCTGTGAAGAGGGTGTAGTATATACAAGGTATTATATATATTGTTAGAGAATTCTATTGTCATGTTTTGGTAGTGGGCGGTTGGGTAAATTTCCACTACCGCTCCTCATATATATATATCACTGCACGAACGTTGGATTTACCAAATGTTGTAAATTCAGGTAATGTTTACTATATGACTTCACAATCGTAGTAAATAAAGGTTAATTGCAGTTATTTCCTTTACAACCCTTAAAAGACCGGTATTTTAAAAAAGTGTGTAAAAAAAGTAAACATTACCCAACTATAATGGCCCGGTAAATCTAAGTTTTCGTGCAGTGTCACGCCGGCAGGCCGGAAATGACCCCGGGCCTGCCTCCCACCCGTCTGGTTCTAATTAGCTACGCTTTGAGTTCTGTATGCGACAAACACTATATTTCTACATTTAATCTAAACATATAAAGTACGACGCTGAACTGGAGGTTATCATTTTTATCAAAATAACAATAATACATACATTTCTTCTCCAAAAACCCCAGGCAGAGATAAAGGAGTATACGCAAGCAGGTGGTTATATATAAAACTTATAAAGGAAAGGAACCCTACACTAAGGGTTACGGTAGTAATCTAAATTCTACACTGTCATTTACAAATCAAACACCCTATAGGGGTGACGCGGGTTGAAGGGCATGCGCACAAGTTGCTGGGTGAGAGACCCAAAAATTAAAATGAGCTAAAGAGCTTTAAAACCCTTTCTTGGGTGGGATTTCTGTTGTGGTGGATTGTATTGTGTAGGGTTGTGAGTGAATGTTTTTGCAAAAGAATTTTTTTTTGAAAAAAAAAAAGTTTTTTTCATGAAATTGCCTTGTTATGGGCTTGTCTGTTGTCATACACCCCTCCTGCCTAGTGCCTTGGTATCGACCTAGAATATGGAGTCAAAGTGCACGGATTCTTATAAACCAACTTGACCTTGGATTTTCTTTCGCTCAGTCGACAAAACTAGACAAGATGTGAAACCTGGCCAAATTTTAGTTCACAACTCCAAACGGTTGCTGAGATATTGCCAACTTTGCACTTCGGCACCTGCCATAGGGCTAGGTCCCGTCCAAGGCCCGTACGAGGGTCCATTTAGTGGTCCCATTATCCAATAAAATGTACTATTCTGGCCCTCTTGTTAACAATGATCATCAGTGCCTACTCTATCATTTAGAGTGATTTTTACTTAGTGTAAGGCTTGTTTACGGCAAAAAGGGGGGGGGGGGGAACGCGGCTTCGGGGCGGTTGCACTTCCCTACTAAGTCCCATAGTTAAGCATAGGCGGCGGTCATAGCGGGCCGTTGCCATGGCAACGGGGGTCTGACGGTGAAACAAACTGGTACATTTTAAGTGAGTCTACGTCAGTACTTGGTATACCAAGAAAATTTGGTCGAAAATACCGCTGCTTGGAATTAATGGCCAATTCCCGTGTCTATTGAAGGTAGCAGAACACAGTTTTCGCCCTATGGGGATTTCTATAGTTAAGGACCCCAAGATGACTCACTTCGACGCGGTAAGAATTATAGCAGGGTGCACTTCACAAATACGAAAATCGAATATGTTTCAGAAGAAGGTACAAACTACAAAATATCTAGAAACCAAAAAATCCTGTCGGCGTATCTGCTCGTAACGTACACTTTGAAATCGCCTCCTACGGACGTGACCTGAACTGCAGCCGACTCACCCGGAAAGCCAGTTGCGCAATACGGCGCATTTATACACGAACTGCAAAACCTTCACAATTCAAATCACACAGTCTCAAACCCGATACATTCCTACACCACACAGCACAATTTACATCTGGCTGACGCTCTTATCGGTCTTTCTACCCAGCCTTCAAGAATATTCGCTGCACTACTTTCTATACCCGCGTCATCGGTCGCCCATTAATACTGTGACCTGCTACCATAAACAAGGCTGTACCTCGAGACTAGCCGTCCAATTTTTTCCGAAACTTGTTGTAGGTACATATTATTAAATTGGCTAACACGTGAAGGTGAGTTTGTGTGACAAAAACTTCATAACTAGAGATATGATGCCCATTTTCATGTCTGATTTAGCATATGTTTCAATGGAGAACCGTTTCAATGGTGTCTCCCCTATAGGGCAAAGGTCACCAATTCGCGATTGAGTGCTGCCAAACCAACTGAAAACAGCCTTTTTCTTGGTATGTGTGGATTAATGCTGGCATTTTCCAGCTGGGGAGTTATTTCTATTTCTATTAACTTGAAAAAACTGGCTGTTAGTGTTGTTTTGGCTGCTTGGTAGAGTTCTAAAACTACTCCCATCTTCTTGTCTTTTGGTGGTCTTCATGGGGGTCAGAGGTCATGCTGCCAGTGTTTGCATTTGCCGTGCTAGTACCGCTGGTCAAAAAGTTGAATTTTTGGACTAAATGGACAATTTGGAAGCTGGACTACCCTGTCAGTGTGTGTTTGCAATAGTTGAACACTCAAGTAGGTGATTGTTGACAGCTCAGTTCTTAGATGTTTTCTATATATTCCAATAGGGGCTGGAATTAGTGGGCTGTGCCCTATACTAGGGACTGTGTCATTGTGCGTACAGTCTACAATTGTCCTTTAGGTTTAAGTGTTACAGTTGGTATCGCTGGTATGCATACGGTTTCCAGTCTCCCTGCAGCTTGATCAGGTCGGCTGGGACGCCACAGTCGCTAGCCCAAGTCGCGCCGCCGCGACGGAGGCTGTGTCCGTTCAACTTGGTCCGCTCAGGTGTAACGACTGCCGTAACAATGTCAGTTATTGTGTCAGCGGCAAGTAATCCGACCCCATTTGCTGGGGGGGGGGGGTCCGTTATATTGGAGAACGCTTTCTCCAGGGCTGTTGTAGGTCACAGGGGGGAGCCAGTAACACGGGGGGTGGGTATCTGGAGGGTCTGTTCCTGGGATTGGATTGTTTTACTCCAGCGGCCACTGATCACTGCACCCAACGCAAAAAACCGGAAGTCTGCGGCATAGCTTCTTGACAGGGCTGAAGCTTCCTGCCGTCTTAGTTCCGGCCGTCTTAGATTTCCGGAAGAATGAAAAGAATCCCACCAGAAATGCGGCCCAGAAGAAAACATGTTTGGCCTGGGCGTAGATGGCACGTAATACATCCGGGGTAATGGGATACGAAAGATCAAAGGTACAAATTCAACAAGGCTTCAATGGGTCAATTCTCACCGTTCAAAACCCATTTTTCACCGTCAAAACCAATTTTTCACCGTTCAGACCCCAATTTTTCATCAGTCAAAGCCAATTTTCATCCTTCAAAACTCAATTTTTATCATCGTTCAAACTACAATTTTCATTTGGGTAAAAGAAACCAAAAACATTCTATCCAGAACCAATGACCAGGCTGATGAACCGCTGTTGGCAAGAGGGGCAGGTTCCTAGGGACTGTCAGGGGAGAGAGATATATGCGAGGGAGAGAGGGAGATAGATAGATAGATAGATAGATAGATAGATAGATAGATAGATAGATAGATAGATAGATAGATAGATAGATAGATAGATAACAGCGTTAAGGAAGAATAACGTGTAAGAAATAATACTGATACAGTGCTCACCAACTATTTGCATCACTGACATTGGCATAAACCTGGGATCTGCATAAAATTCTGAAAACCCAAACCATTTCCCATTCACTACATTATAAATTGCATGGCATAATTGCATGAGCTGTTATGACTTTAACATGATATTGGACTAAAATATTTCCAAGTCAATGGCACACTGACCCAGAAATACGTGAAAGAAATACGTGTAACTTGTTGCGCATCAGCAAATCCGCATGAAGTCCATTGTTATTCATTCATTATCACCCCTGCACCCTCCATTGTCATACACTTTCTCTGTTGTCACTTCCTTCTGGACAGGTGAGAACCCCCAATCACTGATTGTGTGAAAAGAAGTCCTTTGTTCCTTTTTGGTGCCCTTGATTGGACTGTTGTTTTAGGTTTGGTAAGCTTTTTGCTCAACACCAAGGTAGACAGTATGAAGGTGGAATGTGTCTGATCTTCTAACTCCATGTTAGCCCTGTTCATTATGAGTTTCTGAATGCGACTTGAAGATTAGAATATGGTACATGTATGTAGTTGTGGGTGAAAGTGAGTATATAAATACCACAAAAATCATGTTTGCGGTTGTTTCAATTGGCCCCAGCCCAGTATCATCCATAACCAACTGACCTCCCCTCCCTGTCGGTCGTGTGGACTCTCCTAAGGTTATTGGACTAACCCTGTTATAGGAATAAAATTCCCTGACAAATCGTCCATGCAAATAACAGGAGAGCACTGTACCAATAACATTACAAGTATCTACTATAACAATAGTCCCGCAATTATTGTATATTACATTAGTTTAGTTTAGTACATCATGAAGTAAAGATTTTCGCAAATCTGTATTTATGTTCTACTATTATCCTCGTATTTTACAGTGAATGCAGCCATCGTTAATGCTTTACAAGCGTTCTCGAAGGTCCAAAATGTGATAAAAGAGGAGATTTCTCGCCATCGCGAGAACCTGGATCGCGAGAACCCGCGAGATTTCATCGACTTCTGCCTGCTGGAGGTTGAAAAGCAGGAGAAGGTGGAGGGTCTGACGGGGGACATCATGACACACATGGCTGAAAACCTTTTCATGGCAGGCACGGAAACCACCTCAAGCACCCTCCGATGGAGTCTACTCTATATGGTCCTGCACCCAACCATCCAACGGAAGGTAAAATGAAGTTTACAGCCAGACCTGCAGTTATGACCACTAATGCATGAGTATACAATGTATACACTGTGGCATACTTAGTGGTCATCATTGCAGAGCCCAATTGAGCCCAGCATTAACAATCATTTATTGCCTGTGCCTATTCTCCTTTTTATGAATTAAGACTACTGTATCTTAGGGCATGCTAATTTGATTATATTGATGACATCCATGAATTTTTGTCCGTCTTACAAAAAAGATAAGATTTTGACCATACCGTAAATCGTAGGTAGCTGCAAAATGAGCAAATATGTACTTGTGCCGTAATTAAAAAAGAATATTGGAAAACAACACTTATGTCGTAGAATGATATAATCCATCGTCAAGAGCAAGGACATGTGAAGGAAGGAAAATGAATAATCCATTGTACACCATACCAATTAAAAAAAAAGTTCAACCTTCATGAGCACCAGGGTTCTTTTTTGCCATTTTTGTATTCGCATGCTCGCATTAGTTTTGTGGTTCCCAGAGGATGTCATTCATATTATCAGATCAACGTGGCCTTATCAAGTACTCCATATATGTGTTTGTTCGGACAGGTGCAGCAGGAGCTTGATGCCGTTGTTGGTGAGAGCCTGCCCGCCCTGTCCCACCGTTCCCAGCTGCCCTACGTGAACGCCTGTCTGCTGGAGGTCATGAGGATCCGGACCGCCGCGCCTTTCACGGGCCACGCCACAACAGAGACCGTCAAACTGGGCCAATATGACATCCCGAAGGGAACCCAGGTATTATTACCCGCCATTAATCAGATTTTTTCTAACGCTGCAAAACGGCCCCTTTACTCTAAATGTGGCCATGTGGCTGAGGGTATCCGGTGATAATCTTTTCCACTCGAAGGAAAGATCTAACGAACTGTTGTTTGTAGTATTTGTTTGTGGAACGTATTTTCTGTTTGTTTTGATCCAGGTACTGCTGAACCTGTACGCCATGCACATGGACCCCGCCCACTGGCCTGATCCGGACCGGTTTGACCCCGAAAGGTTTCTGGACGCGGAAGGAAACGTCATCAACAAACCTGAGTCCTTCATGCCTTTTTCAGGAGGTAATTATTTGTCAGATATCAGAGATATCATTGTTCACGGTGGTAAAATCTGGGCTGCAAAGTTCCCACATTTCATAGAACCCGAACTGTGTTCGATCGTGTTCGATCTGGGCAATTCGAATCGAACCCGCGTTCTATTTCGGGGTCACCTGCGGTCATTTACAGTAAAGCGGCAAAACAAACCTTTCTGCCTCCGTGCCTTGCAACAGATAAAAAACAACACTTTTCTATAGATACAAACAGTTTCCTGGACAATACATGTCCGCTATCATTTTTTGTGGATCTGTAACATGTAGCGAAGCTACTGTCGTATCCTTGGGTGACCTTGAATACTGTAATGATTCTTTACACCAGTATGAATAACACAATGCAGACTTTTGGTCGACATGACATGTCTGCAAAACTCGTTTTAACCTGCAAGCATGGAGAGTCAAGCATACCCCATTCACGGCTCAAAATGACCGTTACGGTTGTCCCGAAAATCGTGTTTTAGGGATTTTTGAAAAATGGCTTCAATTTTGAATTATGGGTAATTTAGTGAGAAAAATGTCAAAAAATGCCATTTTTTCACCAATATGTCGACAAAAACTAGACTTAAAATCAGAAATTAAAAAATCCCTAAAACACGATTTTTGATGTTATTCCTAGTCGTCGAAAAATATAAAAATCGGGGATCTTGGGTGATATACGTAGCCAGGTTAAAACGATGTTTGCCTAAAAACATGACATGACTTGTGGTCGGAAACTCGAAAAAAATCGTCTTTTGGAGCGAAATTTTGAAAAATCAATGATTTAACATAAACAGCTAATATTAAAAGGATGTTAAGGCAATAATTTCATTTTAATTTGACGAAATTTACCATTAAATCCTTTTTGTTTATTTTCAAGTGTTTTACTGGTAGTCCCAAATAGGCCAAAATAGCGTCTTGTAACCCGATACCTTTTAGAACGCGCCTAGCAATGGGAAAGAATACCGTAGTGACAGACCGCCGTGGTTACAACCAGAGAAATTTAGTTGTTTGGCTTGCCTTAATTTTTGGCATTCTTTATTTCCAGGCCGACGCGTGTGTCCTGGTGAGCAGCTGGCCAGGATGGAGCTTTTCCTGTTCTTCTCGACCCTGCTGCAGTCCTTCAGCTTCAGGACGCCAGATGGCGCTCCTCCTCCAACAACTGACGGCGTCTTTGGTGCAAATTTCACCCCGCGTCCATTTCAGCTTTGTGCGATCCTGCGTTAGTTTTTATATCCGATATGGGAAAAATGACGCGAACCATCTGATTTCAACTATGTGAATGAAGGTTAATTTGCATAATTAATGAAAAATTATCACCATTGTATAGTGGTATAGGGAATTCAATACTTGCAATATTTGGGAGATCAGTAAAGGTAAACATTACTATACATATTTTATTCCAATCAGGACCTAATTTACATTCTTTTGATGGACTGCTAGTCTAAGAATAGCTAAAAATAATCATGTCAAGAATCACTTTAGCTACCTACATACCAAAATGCTGATCCATTAACCGGTTCTTGAGTTATCCTCTTTGAATATCATTTAAAAAATGGCCCTGCAGTTCCAAAACAAGCTGGTAGGGGACCCAAACGTATGTCACTTCTTCCCCACAAGAGCTATCTACCACCTATGTCATGAGATATGAGCATGTCTATGTTATCATCAGCAGTACCATATAGGAAGCTGCTAGGGGACCCTTCCAGGTCTCATCAGGACCTACTCACCTACCAAATATCAAGTCAATCCATTTAAGCCTTCTCAAGTTATTGTGTTTACAGACGGACAGACAGATAGCGAACGCCTACGAAAAGATAACCTTCTTTGCGAAGGTAATTAGTCAGTTTAAACGATTAACAAGATTTGACGAAGGTATGAGGCTGTGCATAAAACCTGAAAATTGGTCTCTAGCTTCCATATAGAATAAAATACGCCACTTGTCCATGTCAAATGATAAGGATTTCACCACCGTGTTTCATGTTACTATAGGCAGGGGCCATGCGAATATTTTGCATTAAAATTGTGCCAATGAGCACCTCATTACTATAAATTAGATTTACAAAAGCACTAAAAATTTCATCTAGCTGACATGTCATGGAATGTTTATTATTTTTGTAAATCTCAAACATGTTGATGGCCACGTACCTGTAAATGGCTTGCAATCCTGCTCGTTAGCAAATTTTACTACTATTTTTCCGACTGACAAGTTTATGCAATTTCTGCCATTTAATATGAAAATAAGGTCATTTCTATGAATTATATCAGTTGATCGTATCCATTTCTGTATACCGCCTGTCATTCCTATTATTGTGCCCATGGTACAAAAGCACTCCTGTCGACAATATGTTAAACTGCAGTCAAGTCTTCAAACTCCGTATGTGCAACGCTTGCGTTGGGCAGGACTTTTGGAAAAACTCCTCCTTTTATCAAAACCTGTACTTTTCCATGTCCATACACTGGTTAGAATTTTACATGAAGTAACATTTTTTCTATATAATGTAGACGCTGCAGGTTTTAGAAATTGAAATATGGTAGTTGAAAATGTGTCAGAATGTAAAAATCTTTGGACAAATTTACAAACAATATCCTTTTCTGGCGTTTAAAAGTTCCTGTGAAGTCATTCCATAAGTCATACCAGCCCTCTGTAGTAGACTAGTAAATGCTATTTTGTCATCTGGATTTATACCATTAACTATTTTGTTATTAGTTTTTAAATGCTTTGTTTACTTCTAAAGGGAATTTAGGACCACAGAATGCCTTGTTGGACCACAGAATGTCTTGTTAGTATAGACTTTCTGTTCACAATTTGTAGCTCATTTAGGAATCTCGTTACCCAAGAAAATGATGTAATTATAGCCAGATGTAACATTAGCATAATTAGCAAAAATTGTGTCAACTTTTGTATATAAAGACGTAATTAAAGCCCTTTGTTGCAAACTGTTTAATCCTTAGATGCTGAAAATTTGAAGATTGTAGCATGAAAAATGCAAGATGTACAATAAAATGTATGTCAGATATTGTTGATATATGGTCCCTTTTGGTGCCAGGACTAATTAGCTTATTCCCATAGGACCAATACTTAAGCATCTTCCAATAAAAACGTCAAAATCGTAAACTTTGAAAAATTCTAGAAAATCTCAACTCTTATGCGAAAGGAAGCATTCTGACTGGACGAACCTACTGTAACACGGAATCATTTTTGATAATCCTTGGCGCCCTGCTATTTTTAGTGTGAATCATTTTCTAACACTGAAAATGCCTCCAACCGCTAGCCAAATCAATGTTCCCTGGTGGAACCCTATGCTGTGTAGTCACGGCCAGTGTTGTGCAAAACTCGACCAGAAAAAAGAACTCAGGCCACGGCAAGTAAATCTTTTGGATGGCACCATCCTCAGACTCCAATCCTAATGCGAGGTGGGCCGAAGGTTTGAAAACTTTACGCCATAAATGAAATGGTACCTAGTTGTGCTAGGTTTACTGCAAACTATTACAACATCCATTTGTCACTGATGCATAGAAATATAATACAGCCGCAGTGTTATATACATGATATTTTGATTTTAAACACAATAATGAGTAAACGTAGGCCCCGTTCATATGACGTCAGTGAAGGCGCTTTACATGTGGCTTCCCCCGAAGCCGGTTTCAAGTGGCCCCATCTGAGCGCTCCAAATCACATTGAAAGCGCCTCGATCCCAAACCACTTCGAGTGGTGGTTTCGAAAAGGTTTTCCCACATCGCTATTTGCGTTTGGGCATGTTGTGTCCCAAACCGTGCCTTGTCCCAAACCATGCCTGATCGGGCACAGTTCCATTCCGTGCTTTGGGGGTGGAGCTTATTGTTTTGAGGGAGGAGCCTTCTCGTGGTGTTGTTTACTGTTTTAGGCCGCCATCTTTGTTTTTCGTCGGGGCAAGAATAAGAAAGAATCGGTGTAATTCTTGCTCTGTAAAGCACATTTTTACCTTTCACGCTGGTCTACGACTTACATGTAGTGTCCAAACAGTGTCCTGTATCATTCTGCAACTCAGTGCAAACACAGTTCTTGATACAACACAGCACGTAGTACACCCAAGAAAGCAGACTGTCCCAAGTTGAGTCTTGGAATCGGAAACAACACTTGCTTATCCACCAAGCCGACGCACGGATATGGACAGTCCTGACGCGTATCTACGACAGACTAGAGCAAATCAACGTAGATAAACAAAGTGTTTGTCCAGAACCGTCCATTAGGTCGCGCACAGTTCTGGACACGAAGTGGCTTTGTCCCAAACTATGCCCGGGCACGGTCTGGGACACTTGGCTCGGTAAGGCGGTGGGGCTGTCTTTGTTACTAGTGACACGACCATGATAGTCCGATCTTTATGTGAATGCAATGATTGTGTGTGTGTAATAAAATGAACTTCGAACTTGAAGCACAGTATCTTTACACGCCCTGAGAGCAGTAATGGATTTAGGTCTTTTTATGTTTTATGGTTGTGACGCGCCCTCATTGTATTAACCGTTGCCTTATGTCTGCACAGTAGGTCTGGCTTTGACGCTTGGAATTATTTACAAAATATGTTGCAAAATATAAAACTTAACGGAGGATTGTCACCTATAGCTTCTTGTTTTAGGTTCTTTAAACCTAAAAGCGAGCCTGCGGGCCCTTTTGGAGAAGTTTTTCGTAAGGAGTAATCGGGTCTTCGTCATCCGTTGGCAGTCGCTCAAAGTCATCTTAATTCGTAATCAGTACCTTAGCCATAAGGCAAAATCGTCCGTGATCAGCTAGAGAATTTAACCCTAAACAGTACACCTGAGGTCCGCGCGGACCCCAGCACTATATATTCTGTAATATCTTTTTTGTTTCTTAAGATTTTTTTCTGAAATTTTAGGTAATTGTCACCCACAAAGTTGTCTCTCAATACAGTGCAGGAAACTCCGTTTCTACCATTTATAAAAAAAAATTATATCTGATTTTCTTTTGGGGTCCGCGCGGACCCCAGCCGGCTTTCGATCATAATGGATACACTGGTGTTCTTTTAAATTACCTTATTCCGTTTTTATATGTTTTTATGCACTCATCGTATGTCTACCAAGTTTTCAGAGAACGGTGTATTTAAAGAATTAAATTTTAATAACTTTGGTGTAATTATGACGTCATATGACGTCAGAGCTTATAATATAGTCCGCCATATTGGATTTTGACCAATGACGTCATCAAATTAGCATATTCTATGCATATTAAATGATTTAACTTATATTTAATTATGTAAGATGTTATTAATGTTGGAAGAGAAGTGTAATTTAATATAAAACTCTTATGTTTTAACCAAAATTACTTCTTTTTTTCAAAAAACTGCCTGCTAGAAACCCGTTGCCATGGCAACACAAAAAAACATCAACTTACTAGTATTAAACTAATATGAACTTTTTCCAGAGACATTTTAGGAAAGGTCTCCAAATTTGATACTTCTAGCGCAAGCCGTTTAGCCGCTATCTGAGATCAAAGTTGGGCCTCTAAAGCCCCTTCAGTCTGCAATGGGTTTAAAAATCGTGTATTTCTTCTTGTCTTCTTTTCCCCCAAAAATAAAAAAAAGTTCAAAATGTATGATTTTTGTATGTAATGTAGACACAGAGGTTCCCACATCAGTTTACCAAACAATTGAGCTGGTATAGCATGTTGATAATTTCTAAAAATTAGCAAAAAACTGTTCTGAGGTCCGCGCGGACCCCAGGTGTACAGATTAATCAGTCCGGGAAGGTGTTCTGTTGAGGGTTAATGTAATTCGTAATCGGTGGCGCCCCCTCCCCCCTCCTGTAGGCCTTCCTGAAATGGTCGTTAGTTCTGGTTACTGACCAATCACGACGCCGGGACTCAAGACTTATCCAGCTCTTCGGCAGAACGTACTGCGCCTGCGCAACTCCAATATTTCTCGGTTTTCGATGCATTTTTGGTAAACGTTGCACCAGAATTTTTCCTGTTGCAGAAGATATCTTTTCCGACAGAAAATATAGGAGCTACAGACGGATTGTTAACCATATATACGCCAATACGTCCTTGTATGAGACGTTCTGCTATTCACAAACATTACGATTTTGCAGGTGCAGTACGTGCTGCCGACGTGCTGGCTCGTCCTGACGCGCAAGGTTACCGAAGGTCTCTTCTCATCCCAGCATACCCCATACCCTTGCCAATCCCCTGGGGGTGACAAAACACTATTTCCAGCCCCAACGGGAATATATGTATATGGTAAACATGTAAGAACTGAGATGTCAAAAATCACCTACTTGAGTGCTCAGCTATTGCAAACTCATATTGGCAGGGTATTCCAAATTCCAAAATGTCCATTTAGTCCAAACATTTCATATTTTGACCAACGTAATAAGTACAATCCAAGGAAACACTGAGATCATGCCCCCTGTACACCACAAAAACATAGCATTGCTCTTAAAGCTCTCGACTACCAGGCAGCCAAAACAAGTCAATTATATAATATAAGTCAGTTTTTCAACAAAATAGAAAAAGAAACAGCGGCAGCTGGAAAATTCCAGAATTTATCCACACATACTAAGAAAAAGACTGCTTTCAGTTGGTTTGGGGTCTCAGACTGGGCCTTCTGGGGTCTCAGACTGGGCCTTCTGGGGTCTCAGACTGGGCCTTCTTGGGTCTCAGACTGGGCCTTCTTGGGTCTCAGACTGGGCCTTCTGGGGTCTCAGACTGGGCCTTCTGGGGTCTCAGACTGGGCCTTCTGGGGTCTCAGACTGGGCCTTCT